ATGTCAAGAAAAGTCTACTCTTATATTACAGAAAATCATGAATACAGTGAGTCAACAAATGAATTATGTTGGGGAGTCATTACATAACTTAACTGGTATATTTGAAAGATTGCAAAGAACCAAAGCAGATAAGGAAGTTGATGCGCAGACAACAGGAACACACAGATCCTCTGCTCGAAGTGTCAAGTCCATCCATAGAAGGAGGAGGGCAGTTTGTTCACCTGAGTTCACATATCAACTTAAGAGAAGAAAGAAAATAACTTATTTTGCTGAGAAACATCATTTGGGAGATGTCCCAGATTATAGAGTAGATAAAGCCAATATAATTGTACATACTACAAATTGAAATGATCCAATAAGAGAGTCTCCAGAAAGAATAATAGATGTCGAAGACAATGTATTGACGGACGATGCGATAATTCAGGAAGATCATGAAGAGGTTGAATGATCAGTGAAGGATGTTCTAGAGTTGCTAGCCCATATAGTAAAAAAATTATTTCTATTCACATCTGCAGCTTCAATATGCCATTAGTTTTTATGTTATAGAAAAATGATATTTATTTTGCAAGCTCTTTGCGTGTTGTCCCATCTAGATCCCTCTAGCACTTTAGCTGTAAAAAAGTCCTACTGGAGAGCATCCATTAGTTGAAGTTGCACATAGCCTCAGTGGAGAAGATATACATAATCTAGTTAGAGAGCCAGCAGTAGGAGAAGATGTACATAGTCCAGTTGGAGAGCCAGCAGTAGGAGAAGCTGAACATAACTCTGCTGGAATAACAAGAGATTAATTAATAATTAATGATGATAAAGAAAATCTCAATTAAGAGGAGACAGATGTGTCGAGCCAGAGCTCCGATCCATATGCCTATGCTATAGTGGTACTAATAATTATTTATAGCTGCACTTAATCATATTTTGAAAATAAACTGATATGTTACGGGTCCACATTATTGTGTTGTAGCCTCGTGTTGCGGCCCCAACACTTCCACTTGATTATCCTGCTAGATCAGTGCTTCCACCTGAAATGCAGGATGTAATAGATAGATGTATTGCCAACAACCTTGGGGTGTAAGTAAACAATCTTTGTTACATTGTAACAAAAAAATTTTAGTGCGTCTAATGTTATATTGTAACAGACATTTTTTTATTAACGGTGCAGAGATGATATCATCCTAAGCAGGGGGAAAGTCGTACTGGAGCATGGTGCACTTGAGGATATATTAATGAACTGGTGGTTCGGGAATGAACATGTCGATATGTTTGTCATTATGTTGGCTGAAAGAAGGAAATGGTCATCTGCACTGTACAGAAAATATATATATGTGTCCCCACTGTAATGGGTATTTACAAATGTTTAATTTATTTGATTATTGTAAAAGCTTAACTTCCGTTGTAGACTGAATATATTTTATTTATTATTTTTCTTTTTTTTTGCAGATGTTAAAGACGATAAAAGGTGATACTACAACATTAACTAAGGATATTACAAAGGAAGAAATTAAAGATAATGAACTCATTTTATTTCCTATAATTAATAATCAACATTGGATATTGTTAGTAGGGGAGTTGAAAGGAAGAAAATGGAAAATATATGACTCACTACATAACTCGATGCAAAAAGCAGTTGTTGTAGAACTTGTAAGTACGTTTGACACAATTTACATATTGAATTCAATATTTTTTATTGCAATATCTACTACAACCTTTACAGGTCAAACATTTTGCGAAAGATACTCAACAAGCATTTCGGTCCAACATAACAGAGTGGGCAATGTTCGCTCCTCGAAACGTTCTTGCCTAAAGTAATAGCCACGAATGTGGCATGTTTGTATGTAAGTATATGGAAATCTTAGTACAGGTTGGCACAATCGAATGGAAAGATCACTTAAACTAGCAAGAACTTATGGTACAATTTAGAGCTCAGTTCGCCTATGCGATTTGCATGTGGGCTCGCCAAGCATCTAAAAAGAAAACTGTGCTTTGTAATTTTATTAAAGACATGTTTATTGAACTGTGATTTGTATAGAGTAAGTGTTATAATGTTGAACTGTGCTCTGTAATTTTATTAAAAGTTTTGTAATTTTTTGATAATATGATCTGTAAGTTTTCAAATTATCTGTAAGTTTTCAGCAATATGATCTGTTTAAATGTCGATACAACTAAGTTTAAATTTTACAAAACACAGTGGATTTTAGATATAATGCATTGGAATTGAGATATAACGCATTCCAACTGCAGAATAACGCGGTTAAATGAGATGTAACGCATTTAAATTGCAGGATAATGCAGTGGGAAGGCAAAATAACACACGGGAAAGCCAAAATAACACTTAGGGAATATTCAAAGCACGTTATGCGTGATTTATACTCGTTGAAAAAATAAATAACGCAGCGAGAATGAAAAAGGGAATGAAAAATAACACAGAGACACGACAAAAGAAACAGCTTGTTGGTGAAATAATGCTTAGGGAATATTCAAAGCACGTTACACGCAATTTAAACGCATTGAAAAGATAATTAACACAGCGGGAATGGTAAATAACACAGAGGGACGAAAAAATAACGCAGCGTGTTGGCAAAATAACCTTAGGGAATATTCGGAGCATGATACACGTGATTTATACGCGTTGAAACGAGAAATAACGCAGCGAGAATGAGAAATAACACAGATGGACGGCAAAATAGTGAAGCGTGTTTGCTAAATAACGCATAGAGAATGTTTTGTTCATGTTACACGTGATTTATACGCGTTAAAATGATAAATAACGCAGTTGAATGTGGGAATAACTCACCGGGAAGGTAAAATAATGCAGCCGCAAAATAAGTAACGCAAAGAGAATATTCCCAGCACGTTACGCCGGTTAAATTAGGCCGTGGAATTGGTAATAATGTTATTTTTTATATTTCTTGTGTTACTAATGTGTTATCAATGTGTTATTGGACTGTTATCTGAATGTATTTGTGTTATTAATGTGTTATAGGACTGCTCTATACATGTATTTGCATAATTATTAAAACTGTAACATGAAAGTAGTAACATAAACAACACCATAATTATTAAAGTTGTAACACAAATACATTGATTTATACTACATCAAAGCTCAGTTATGGAATCCATCAATAGCCCCGTGAATGTTTGAGATGATATTTGCGATGGAAAAAATTCTTGTAATATTGTAAAGAAAACATGTTTTAGAAAAACAAGTTAAAAAGACCTCTCAAGTGAAAACATGTAAATGATTTCATTTTTATACATGGCTTAGATAGTCAGGCATAATTGGATCGCATGGCAGAGCAAGTTCCCGACTTGTTGATTGTTCAAGATCTTTTCTTGTATGCGGAGCTTATGGTTAGAGAAGGGAAATAAAACATAAATTGAAGCAGTTCATTTCATGTAGAAAAAATATACTTTTGGATCTCTTATTTTTCTCTCAATTTCCTTTAGGCTTAGAAGTAGAAACACCTTTTGGCCTCCTGGGTCGGCCACATTACATTCTATATTTGATTGTTTTTTCTTCTTTGTTTTTCTCTTAACAGTAGACATTTCTTCAGCTTTTACTTCGTCAATATCTACAGATAGTTTTTTAAATGCTTCCCATAACATCTGCTCGATAAATTCGTCTCCTTGTGCTTTATTGATTAGTTGGAACACAAAATTTTGAGATTGTGAACAGAATAAGAGGCCACTTGAAGAAACAACCATCATTTGGGACTCCCTTAGATGTTTGTATTCAAACATGTTATAGATGTTTCTTTTAGCATGATTAGACCATCACAATAACAAATATTTTTCAGGAATGAGATTTATTTTAACCACATTAAGAACATGCAGTGTGTGTTAACACAACAGCCCTTCATTTCAAACATTCTGCAACTGCAATTGATATTGGAGTTAACTCTGTCAAAATTCACAACCCATGCCTTGGATGTGCCATCATTATCCAAATTGCATATATAATAATTGGACCCACTATCTGTGGTGAATTGAAGTGTGAGTCCACATAACCCATTAAGCAGCTCTTGCTCGAACATTGAGTATAGCTTCCTCGAATAAAATGAGGAAGCTTGCCTCAAAATCGGGTTGACTTTCACCATCAGCGTAGTGATAGATTGACTACATTTGAAATCTTCGGTCTTTTCGTTCCTGCACCATGATTTTATTATATTTTTGAGGCCGATAAAATAATATGTCAGAGAGCTTGTGGGCTTCGAAACACCATGACATATATTATTTGTGGACTCACTTCTTTGAGTATATAGGATTCTCATTCCAAATATTTTTTTATTGAAGGAAGTTGATCATTTGTGTCTAATTTTGTACATCTCATGCAACCACACATTACTGTATAGGTCACCCACTAAGATCATTAAGGAACAAGTTTTTTCGAGCTCCTCCTCTGAATCGCATTTACTTATGCATTTATAAAAAAGACCGGTGACGCTCTTGATAGAAACTCCACAATGCACTTTTGAAGTTTTTTTTTTGTAGATATGTCGTTGGCATAATCTATTTCGTGTTTGTAGGAGGCATTCTTCAATAGCTCTTGTCATTGCTTGGTCCTGATCAGTAAAAATACTTAATGGATGTTTGTCTCTCATTATTCTTATAAAAGCTTTTAATAACCATTTAAAAGAATCAATAGTCTCCTCAGACAAGAAGCCAACATCAAACATGATGTTTTGCCAATTGTGGTTAACTCCCATAAAGAGTGCGCAACATAAGTTATACTTATTTAATCTATAGCTTGTATAAAAAATGATTACATCCCCCAAAACAGTCATAATTCAGCCTAGATAACCCATCACACCAAAAAAACTTGTTAATCTACCATGCTCAGCAGTTTGAAAATCTCATGCAAATATGTTATCGCTGGCTTGCCTCCCCATGAACAATTGAATTAAAGAATTGACATCTCCTTGTTCATTTTTTTCTCTTCTTTTTATTTGAATGAAATTAAATGCATTCCTCTTCGTGCATTCCAAATTCTCCACTCCCTCAATCTATGTAACAAAGAAGTTATATGCATTCGTTATTCCAATCCCAGATCCTGTCATTGATCTCAGGACATCAGCATTTAAGTTCGTTATCTTTTTACCGGAAGGAAGAAGATGCTTATCACTACATTCAACCAAATGATGATTGTGACTTTTAATGAATTTATTTACTGTCCAGTTGCCTTTAAGGTCAACTGCATATCGCACCATAGCTTGACAACCAGTCATCGTGTCTGGCTTTTTGTACTTTACTGTATTCATAAGGTTTGAGTCCTTCTTGTGACCAGCTTTTCCGCAAAGAAAATCTTTGGTCTTCCTTTTCTTCGGATTCGACCAACAACTATTATGGTCCTTCCGAACACTGAAACCTACATGATGTGCATATGCACAATAGATTTCATAAGCTTTTTGCTCATTGTGGACAATGATGCTAAGAAACTTCTTTGCAATTGGATCACTGCAAACAATTATCTGCTCACATGGCTGCACATTTGCACAAATTAAGTCCATTGTCAGTAAGAATAACACAACATAACCACAGTTTAATAGCAGAATAACAGTAGAATAACGTAGTAAAACCTGGCTGACATTCATAATAATAACACTAAACTAATACCATACAACACCACAAAAAACTAAGAAATAACACCACAACAATAACCAAAAGAACACACAAGAAAAACATACCAGTACCACCACTAAAACTAACAATAACACAACAATGGAAGAATAACACAACAAAATAGTTAAATAACACAACAACAATGAGCCAAAATACATCATATTACCATTATCATTTACAACTGAACAAAACCACTATTATACCACATTTACAAAAAGTAACATGAACAAAAAAAAAAACTACAGTAACCCAGCGTAACACCAGACTAAAACAGTAAAACCCGACGTAACACTATAATAACACAGTAAAACCTAGCAAGCATCATGAGAATAACACTAAACTTATACCATTATACAACACCAGTGCAAAAGTAAAACCTATTTTCAATCTCAAGGTACCTAATAAAAAATAAAAAATAACATACATTAAAAAATAACACTATTATCAGACCAAGTAAACAACACATGCAAGTTTGAGCTAAACAAAACTAAAACCTTCAAGTTTTAGCTAAACTCACATCATCTTCCAAGTTCGACAAAAATGATGGCTGCAACACACAAAAATGATGGCGGCAACACCTCCAACATGTCGTCGTCCGACGAGGAGTCCATCAAAGCCGTAAACTTTAAACCAATGGAATAATTATTAGTCAGTTGGGCGTGACAAAAACAAATAGGTAGCGAAGCTTTTACGATATAAAAATGATGGCTGCAACACCTCCAACATGTCGTCGTCCGGCGAGGAGTCCATCAAAGCCGTAAACCTTAAACCAATGGAATAATTATTAGTCAGTTGGACGTGACAAAAACAAATAGGTAGCGAAGCTTTTACGAATAAAGATTCGGGTCGAGCCGGGCTAAGCGCACATTTTATTTTTTTATTTTTTGGAAATTTGAAAGTCAAGTGTCAACATTTTATTGGTCTCCGAATGGTTCTCTACGTTAGGAGTCCTAACAAAATAATTTTCTGTGTGTGTGTTTGTTGTTAAATATGGTCTATTGGTAGAGCAACTCAGATCAATTGGTCGGACATCTCCTTGTAAGTTGTAAGTTCCCTCTGGTCTGGAGTTCGATTCCCCCCGAGTGTAAAGTGTGGCACTCAAATTCTTAAATGCATGAGAGATAGCTGGGTGTCACAGACAAATAGTCCCACATCGGCTAGGTGTAGGGCCGAAAAGCAGTATTTAAGTCCTGGGCTGCCCACCACCCATAAGGGCTCTTTTGGGGGGTGATCAACAGAATAAATATACTTATTTCTGATTCATGATGAGGAGAAAGTTATTTTAATATTTAGAGTTTTTCTTCTACAAAAACTTAAGTTATCTTTTTATGTTTGTTATATTTTTGTCAAAATATTAAAGTTACAAACAATATTTAAACTTTTTTTACTACGAAAACATCTTCAGTATAAATAATTGTCTTTTTAAAAATAAAAATTTTTCCAAAAAGTGCATATTACATATCTTCCCTGTTGGTTCGATATTAAGGTCTTAATCAAAAATTCCTATATTACTTCATAAAGATATGTATACTCGCGTAGTATCCCAATATATATAAATTAAAAGTAAATTCTTATTTTTCTTTAAGATCAATTTTATGATTTTGTTGCAAAATATGGAAATATAAGTGAAAAATATAATCAGAAGTATCAGAGCAGACTACTGCCTGCCAGGTGTGTGGACTTTTCATGGTCCAGTGGGACCCGCGGTGGAGTCGATCCGTGACGAGGGCGTCAAGTGATTGGGTGGAGGAGAATGTCACGGACAAATAGTCCCACATTGGCTAGGTGTAGGGCCGAAAAGCAGTATTTAAGTCCTGGGCTGCCCACCACCCACAAGGGCTCTTTTGGGAGGTGACATGGGGCTCTTATAATAGCCTACGACCATTCTTTTTTTCACACACACACACACACACACACACACGCGCATATATAGTAAACATTTTTCAATCAAATAAAAAATTAGGTTAAAAAGTGTCAATATTGTGTCTCTTTTAAAAAATAATATGTTAAAATTTAGATTAGAGAATTGTAATTAATTTTTTTATAAGAAAATAAAAATTTATGAAAATATTAAAAACATTTAAAAATAAACCCAAATAATGTACTAAAACATGACATCAAAGATTTAGTTTGAATAAAGTATATATGTAAATGTCCCTAGAAAATTCCAAATAAAAAATCATGCAGGTAAGTGAAATGTTGCTTTCTTACATTTAGTACCTTATGGAGAAAAAAATACCTTATCAATGTTATTTAAATGTTCAAACGAAGCTTAAAGGTTTTGAAAAGGTTTGAAAATTTGAAGGTTTTAAAAGCTTAAAGTGCACTCTCAGGCACAAGAAAATATTATGTCTAGAGTTCGGATGCAGGCAACGTCGGGACAACGGACACGAATATTTTCTCCGCAAGCACCACCTTAAATCCCGTAGTATATAACGAGAAAATATTGCATCAGGACTCCGCACGTAGAGTTAGGTGGGGAACCCAATGAAATCACACCACGTGGAGATGAAAAAAAAATAAAATAAAATATGCCCGATAACACAAGTGAATATTCCTCCCGTATTATTTAGGTGTTATTATATGTTATTCAAGTATTTTTGTGTGTTATTTAACTTGTTATTGATGTGTTATTGTGTTATTATAATACCGTTACATACATAGCATTTGGTGTTATAATGTATATATCACTTTTACAAAAATGATAGGAGCGTTCTTTATATGTGATATTAAATATTTGCATAAATATAAAAGTTTAAGGGTGAGATATATAAATACATAATAATTGTGTGCTATATATAAAAAATCAACCTTATCAAATCCATAGGGGTCCATCCTGATAATTGTGGGAAGGAATCTTAGTAATTATTATGATGTTCCTCTTAGCTAGTGATACATAGAAGTTGTTCTATGATTTACTTCTGTTTTTTTTATTAATAATAATAACAATAATAATAATAATATTATTATTATTATTGTTGTTGTTGTGGCGGCTAGTGACGTGTGCTTTCTTTGTTTACTTGCTCCGGGTGAGGAAAAATTATTGCATACATATACCGCATGTAGAGATACATGCGGTGTTCGATCCTGACCGTAGATCACGGTGATCTACGGTCAGGATGCAATCAAAATTTTTTTTTAAGAAAAAAAATTAAAGTGGGGCCCATCAAAATACATCATGACTGTAGATCACCGTGACCTACGACCAGAATCCAACACCACATACATCTCTGCATGCGGTGTATGTATGCAATAATTTTTCTCGGGTGAGGCCACCATTTGGACTTTTTCTCTGCAATCAACATTACCAAATTAACCCCCAATTATTTAGTTTATATTATGATAGTCACACAAAATAAAATTATATTAATTAAGAGTCCATCAAATTTAGATTATTGACCTTTTCAATGATTCAATTAATCTTTATTCACAATCTGCACATTTTTTAATGATCTTTCAACTTTGTCATTTTTGGATGATTTTTAATTTTTTTTTTAATATTGAAACCTATTGCATTTATATTAAATTTAAATATTATGTTTTCTTTATTTATGACCATTACAGCCGTGTAAATAAACTACACTAGTTCAAAAATTATATATTCAGGGATAAAAAAATAACAACAAGAGGAGAACATATTACGTATAGACGTGCGACGTGCTGATGATGGAGTGGATCGCATCATGTCGTCGAACGCACTGCGAGGTGAGATCCCTACCGGTGTGTCAACCAAACGCAATATTTACTAAAATAAGAGAGATGTTATCAACAGAAAATTTAATTATCACTTTTGACGAAAGTCAGACTTTAACGATCCAACGACAAGAGCGAGACTCAAGGGTGCTTATAAGATGCAAACAAGAGAGATTTGATATATACTTTCTCCACGTCTTGTTAGCTCATAAACCATAAACGCAAAAAAATAATCCAGTAAGCACATGGCTATTACAATTGGATTGGACTGGCCATTTTGACTAGTTCAATTATGAACTGGGCGTATGACCAGTGCCAGTAATCCTGAAAAACTACTTCTTCATCAACTTGATTGGAGTTGGCGGTTTGATTGACAATACCATTGAGCTAGTCACAATTTTAGGAAGCCATTAAGTTCAAGTTTTGCCCTTTTAGTCACCTTTAGTAAGTGATAAAGAGTCTAGAATTTATTCTATAGTATATTAATTTCATTAAAATTTTTTTATCTTAATGTATAATAATTACCCAAACCACAAATTCCATGTAAGGTGCTATCTCGTGGGATGCTGCTTCACCATTATCTCAACCATACTTAACATGAGTGCCTCTAGACAGTTTCCTCTCCAATTTCCGTTTCCTCTCCTTCGATCGGCCTTTCATCGGCCATTTTTTTTCCTTTGTGGAATCAACTTAGGTTGTGTGTTTCTTCTCTCAAATTTCCTTTTGCACTCATGATCTTGTTTTAGTCTTCATGAATGGTCTCTTAAAGTTAACTTCATTTTTTAAATTTCATTATATTTTAGTAATTTTTGGAGTGAGCTATTGGTATTATTAATTATTCATTGGGATAATTAACTTCATAAAAGTTATAAATGGCATAAAATGAACCTAAAAAGGTTACTTTACTATCTTTTGAGCTAATGAACCATTTTAGGTACTATATGGTAGTAGGATAGTAGCAAGGACCCCTATTTTTAACAAACAATATTGTTCTAGCAAGAATAAAATGATCCTAACATGAAATCTCCCTTATTTACTAAAGAGTATCACTACAAGAAAAGCAGACAAATCCAATGAAATAATTAGCGGACTAATTCAATCAGAAATCATCAACATATTTTGCAACAAAACTTTTGGTTAAAAATTCTCAAAAAAATTACCATAGAAATTTTGCAAACTCATTTATGACCGTCTCTAATGGAAAATTAATTGGAAAAATTTTCAACTATTTTCTGTCAAAAACTACATTGGCAATCACCTTTATTTAAACTCATTGTTCAAAACTATTATTCTACTTTCCCTTTTTTCATGTCTCTCTCTCTATGTTGATAGCATCCCCTTCATCCTAGCGTGACCAAATCCCCACGAAACATTAAATTTTCTTTAATTACATCTTAGAATCAAAGACAAAGCTCTTCAATTACCTATTAGAAGAATTAAATTAAGATTTCATCATTTAATTTTTAAGTATTATTGATTTGAAGTTTGTGAAAGATTATTCAATTTCTAGCATAAGCATGTTAAAATTTATCAAGATTTCATCTTTCTTATATTATATTTCCTTTATTGGCTAGATCTTCTACTTCTTAACTTAGATTTATGAACTTGAAGAATTTAGTAACACATAAATAGTTATTGGAGTTTCCTTAAGGGTCCGTTTGGGGCAGCTTATAAGTGCGGGCGACGTTTTCAAAACGCCGTTGTACCGTTTGGTTCGCACGTTTCGCCAGCTTATCTGAAACTGCATTTGGGTTTTTACACTAAACGCAGATCGCGGGCGTTTCAGGATAAGCAGCTTATCCTGAAACGCACAAGCTGCCCCAACGGACCCTAAAATTGCAAGCTTTTTTACTTCAACTTTCCTTTTTTGATGAAATGGATAAACTCTTTCCTTGAAGTTAAACTTCATAAAAGCATTAGAGTTTTTCATCTTTAATGTGCTCATTTTTTAGGCTTTATTCTTTTACTTAGTATATATTTACAGTGACATGACTCCATAACGATGCATTTAACATTCTAGAAAAATGACCCTTTAAAGAATACATAAGCCACTTCTTCTATTGATTAATGATTATGCACCTACTTTGAATAGATGTATTGTCTTCTTACAATGAAAATCATGATTGTTATTTTTTTTCAATGCTTGTTATGATCTATATTTAATGATTAGCCTGAACAAAATCAAATCCTTAAATTGAAATTGGTTTATTATTTAAATAACTGTGTTAAGCTCATTTAAATGGTGATGTTGTAAAGATGTTGCAGAAGCGATATCCAGTTATCTATAGTGAAAGTATCGAGTTAGGGCGAGGGAAGGGGAAGAAACAAACCGAGAGAAGACCCACGACAGGAAGGCGGCGGTGGAGGACGCACATTGATGCCTATAACTCCCCATATCGCGGCTGGAAGGCGACAAGTTATTCGTTTTGTGGAGGATGCACTTAAGCAGTAGAGGTTGGACTTCAACAATATGGTAACAAAAGTGCGTTGTTGTTGTCAAAATAGATAGCAGAGCGTTTTATATGTAAATTATGATGTTTGATTGTAAAATACATGAATTATAATTTTTTTTGTGCTATATATGTAAATCCAACAAAAGAAAAATATAGGGCAATAGTGTGATAAATTTGTGATGTTAATATAGATATTAGACATAAATATGATATTTTAAATTTTAAGTATATGATTTATTATGTAGTTCCTGTAACAAAAGAACTTGATAGGTAGAACAGTTCGAGCTGGTAAGAGGACGTGTTAGCAAAATGGTCATTAACAATCTGATTTTGAGTCGAGTTGGGGTCGACTCAAAATCGGTTTTAAAAAAAATTGATACAAAATTTTGACTCGTAACTCAGCCCGTTCATTTTAATCTGAGCTAAAATTCATATCAATTTTCAATCGTTTAAGGACCTTAAAGCTAAATTTTATTAATTTCATAATCCCAACTTCACTAAAGTCTGTTAGGGAACAGCTTGGAATCAATTAGAAAAAAATTAGCTTCAAAACTCTACTTAATTATTTTAATACATCCCAAAAATTGTTCAAATTTCAAGACCTAATTATCGCAGGTGAAAAATATTTGCATACGTAAGACGTACGCAGTGTTGTGTACGTCAGGTAGGTTACAGGGAGGGTATTGAGGATTATATTTTCCTTATACCTCTATAACCTTCTTGTAATATGCTTGTAACTTACACGCAGGGAGGGTATTCTCTATAACCTTCTTGTAATATGCTTGTAACTTACAAATATATGAAAATAAAAATTACGAAATTACTAGTTAGGGTACAACACGAATATAATTAGGATAATCCCTAATGCATTCCGGTAATCTAACGCAAATATTTATACTAATTATGAGGCAACATTGGACACACATGGTCGTTGAGGAACTAAACCCTAGAAAAACCTCTTCAATATCTAGCAAGAAGTAGAAGATGAACTCCTTAACTAACCTTCTGCGCTTCCACCTTCGCATCTCTCCCCGTCTCTTCCGCCTCTTCTGCTCCACTCAAAACCCTAGCTCTAGCTCCCCCCAAAAACCTCTGCGATCAATCATCAAAGCCCTTTTTCGCGAGAAAGACCTAAATCAGCTCATCTCCAACTTCAAGCGCTGCTCCGCCGACCGTAACTTCCGCAGCAAGCCCGAAGTCTACGAGATCATTATCCGCCGACTCGCCACCGCCGGCCGGCTCGATGCGGTTGACGACATCATCGAGCAACACAAGTGCTACCAAGAAGAAATGTCTCACGAGGGTTTCGCTGTACGCCTCATTTCTCTTTACGGTCTAGCTGGAATGCCAGAACGCGCTGCCGCACTTTTTCAAGAGCTTCCTGCACTCGGTTGCCCCCGTACAGTCTTTTCATTCAACGCCGTTCTCACCGCTTATACCCGGTCGAATGCCGCCGATCGGATCGCCCACCTTCACAAGTTCCTCTCATCTCACGACGCCTCTATAGAGCCCAATCGTATTTCGTACAACATTCTGATAAACGCTCTGTGTGAAAGGGACCTCCTCGATGATGCCCTCAATACCCTGGATTTGATGGAAAAGCGTGAGATTATGCCCGACTTGGTAACTTTCAATACCCTATTAAATGGCTTTTATGGCAAGGGTATGATCTCCGAGGCTGATGAGATATGGCAAAGAATGAAGGAGACTGGCATCCAGCCGGATGTGAGAAGCTTCAACGCAAAGATCAGAGCGTTTGCTTGGCAAGGAAAGATTGTGGAGGCAATGGAGGTTTTGGAAGAGCTTAGGAGAGTTGGGTTGGAGCCTGATACTTTGACTTACAATGCTCTTATTAAAGGCTATTGTCGTCAAGGGAATTTGGAGGAGGCCAAGAGATTATACAAACAAATGGGGAAAAATGGCTGCTTTCCTGACAGGCATACTTTGAGGGAATTGATCCCCAAACTCTGCCAAGGCGGCGATGTTGACTTGGCACTAAATATATGCATAAAAGCGATAGACAATGGATTTCTTGTTGATGTAGGCATTATTCAGGTGTTGATTGATGAGTTGGTGAAGGGTTCCTTGCATGATAAAGCTAAAAAACTTGTGAAGCGAGCAAGGTTAAAGAACGATAGAGCAAACCTGAAGATGCCTCTATCTTGTTTGGCAATATAGGTAAAGTCACCATTAACTGTGCATGCCTTTTATGGTCCATATTATGTGTGACCTGCAAGTAATATTTTTCGGAATGTGTTGGTTTTTTATTCATTTCATGATAGAGGCTCATTAATTTTTGAATTGAAATCAGCATTGATCAATATAATCCAAGCAAGAGCTTCTTTGAGATGTACATTATATGTACATGCAAATGAAACAATTTGATATTTGCTCAGTAAAGTATAGACATCACCAACTTCTCTGGTTAATTTTCTCATACTTTACTTTGTTACTTTAATACCAATTTCATTTTTTTGGGATACTAGTGTTTGATTTAAATTGAAGCATTCTTTTGACTAAAGTGTTCTGAAATGTTATGCAATTATCAACATAATACATTCCTTTAGCGATCCAACTTGTTTTTGAATAAAGTAGAGACAGTTACTATGGTGATGAAAGCCAAAGTTTTCTGAAATTCAATATCTCCAAACTTTTGGTTTCCACAATCCATGCAAACACAGTTTTGTTCAAGGGTTCAGCATTTCTGAAGTATTTATCAAAGTATTTCTTTTCTCCATGTTAACAGCTTTTCTGGCGTGTCTAATCATTTGAGGTAGAAGAATGATGATACTAGATGATTGTCTTTTTTCAAGATCTCCAAAGCTATTGTGTTTTTTTCTTTGAATTTTTTCTCTTGAATTGTCTTTCACTGTAGTTTCCTTTCTCAAATTAACTTGAGAAAAGAGAGTATGCAAATGGGAAATTGTTAAACAGAGAGGAAGGAGGGAGGGGTTCAGTAAAGTGAGATTCCCATAAGAAACACGTTAAAATTTCAGGTTTTTTGTTTTCTAAGAGAAGATATAGACTGCCTTAAAAGAGTCCTATCAGAGAGAATAGGAGAGAGGATACAAGAGAGGGATATGAAAATATATCAAATTTCATTAATAATTCAATAACTTAAATAAGATTTGTTTCAAGATAATTCAAATTAATTTGTTTTCAGATTTTGATAACTTGTAAAAATCCTATTATCTAATTTGAATTAAAAACTTCTCTATCAACGGAATGCTAAAAAAACTAAAAGGAATTATCAATTAAGGCAAAATATTTAAGATATATTCTATATTTATTTTGATTCATATCGTATAGTGCATTGTCTTTGTACAGGAATTCATCTTCATTTTTTGTCAACAATCTTAACTACTTCCTCTTATATACTCAATATAGTTTTGAGTAAATAATTAATATTTGGAACTTTTATACAAAATGAAGAGGAAAAATTGTGGCATTGACTTATTGAAGGCAGCTAGTTTTTTTCATTTACGTTAAAGAATTGTAGGCACATAAATTGGATCAATTCTACATGCTACCAAAACTAAAATGGAATGTTTCAAGGAAACATAAAAATAATGATTGATTCTTGTATTGTTAGAAAGCTTTGGTCCAATTTCTTAGTATTACATGATTGGATTCACATATGCTATGTAAGTTCTTTCTGTATATTGGCTGTAGATTATTTACACTGTTAAGAGATTGATAAATTCATTGTTGTTGACTACAAAATAATGGTTTGTAACTTATTGTGTATGTCCATTCATCATTGAATACAACAATAATAACATGAACAATCTTTTATTTCAAGAAATGGGGTCGGCTACATGAATCCTTTTTCTCCATTGTGTCCTATTGAGTGTCATATTTTCATTTAATCCTAATAAATTATGATCTTTTTTTATACATCGTAGAATCTAGAAGGATATATTATTAACCAATTGAGTAGATTTAAATGCATTATAGTTAGTTCCATTTTATCATGTAGCCTATATGAACCTCTATCAAATTAGATGTGTCAATTGGCTTTGATGAATCTTAACTCGAGCAATTGAACCACATATAAACCTCAAATTTGGGTCGTAGCCCTGTAGTTTGATTGGAATGTGTTTATGCATCCTATGTATTTGATTAACCTTGATTGGTTTGGTAGAGGTTGAAACTAATTCTAGTTAAACCTATGCTAGGCATTAAGATGTTCGATGATCTGAATTAGGCTTCACTAACTGCAAGTTAATGGAAGCGTGAGTTTAATTGGTCAAACCTTGAAGTAATTGGCTTGTGGTTTACTTGAGCTTGTTCAAGTTAAGTATGGTTTTGTGGTTGACATGGCTTGGGCCCATTAGATCTTTATGATCATTGGTCTAATTAGGATTGGATTAACCACAAGGGAATTAGAGATGGAGGGTAGTCATTGAGTTACATCAACTCCAACTCTTGATCATGTGACCTTTTGATTTTTTTAGAGGTTAATAAACAAATCGATAACTGGTTTGGTGTATAGCTGTGTGTGTTGTTTTTGATTGATTGCGGAGTTGAAATTTTTATTGTGGAAGTTGTGATGTCTATAGCTTTCAGTTTTGGCAAATTGGATTTAACTTTGTATTCTAACTAATGTGAAATTCTGATGCCCAATGTTGTTTGGGTATCCTATCCTTATTTGGAGATGTTCATATGACCTAAGCGTCTACAGGGATGGAGTTGATCTCCTTAATTTTAGGGGAATAGGTTTTTGTAATCTGGGCCTCTTTAAGGTTGATTTAATTTATTCCAATTTTTTATGCTTAGGATTTGGACCCAGGACTTTTTTGTGGGAGATTTTTGTAACATGAACCTCTTTGGGATAGATTTAAAATTTAAATTTTCTTGAAAATTGATGTGGTTTTGCTTTTGTAACATGGGTTATGGAGATATTTTTGACACTCAAATTTTGAATTGGTCAGAATTAGGTTTGCTAAGATTTGGAATAGACCAACACAAATCAACATAATATTTCTAATAGGAGGGGTATTTAAACCCCATTGCAATATACATAGTAATGGAAAGCTTAAAAACATAATAAAATGACTACGAAAGAAAATAAAATAGAATAAAGCAAAATAGGAAATACATTATTAGGGGATAACAACAAATAATGAGTAATAATCCCTCAAGTTGATAGATGTCAGTTATATTCAACTTAGACTTAAAGTCATCGAACAAAGAGCGAGATATATTTTTTGTGAGGATGTCTGCTAGTTGACCACTGGATGTCACATATGAAACGCAAATCTCCCTGGACTTAATCTTTTTTTTTTAATGAAGCGTGTGTCGATCTTCACATGTTTGGTACAATTATGCTAGATCGGAGTGTGAACAGCTGCCTTTTTATCACAGAATAACTTTAGCGGGATGAAATTTGGCATATAGAGTTCGCGGAATAAATGCGTAGCTAGATAACTTCACAGATTTCTAAGGGAATTGATTGAAATTTAGCTTTAGCACTGCTTCGAGAAACCACAAACTATTTCTTACTTTTTACATGTGACAAGATTGTCCCATACAAATAAGAAATATCCCTAGATGGAACGTCGATCATGAACTGATCTGACCCAATCAACAGCTGTACAAACAACAATAGATCAAAATGCATGACGGGAGAAAAACAACCATGAGCTCAGTGTATCTTTTAAATAGTGGAGAATCAAGTGGACAGCTTGGAGGTGGTGCTCGTAGTGGTCATGCATGATTGACTCATTATTCCAATTACGTGGCATATGTCGAGGCGAGTATGAGCAAGGTTAATCAACATCTGTACAAACAACAATAGATCAAAATGTGTGACGGGAGAAAATGAGCTCAGTGTATCTTTTAAATAGTAGAGAATCAAGTGGACAGCTTGGAGGTGGTGCTCGTAGTGGTCATGCATGATTGACTCATTATTCCAATTACGTGGCATATGTCGAGGCGAGTATGAGCAAGGTAGCTGAGTTTTCTCACAAGATGCTGACAATGAGTCTTGTTGACAGATGCGTCATTGAGAATATCAGATAATTTTTCATTAGGATGCATGAGAACAATAACAAGTTTGCACAGAAGAAGGTTGTTCTTTGACAAGAGATCAATCATATATTTTTGCTGAAACAGATAAATTCCTCGAGATGACTGCCTCATTTCCGTGCCTAAGAAGTACCGGAGAGATGTCAAGTCCATCTCGAAGGACGAAGCAAGAATGTCTTTTAAAGATTTCAATGTTGAGAGATCGTTACCTGTAAGAACAATATCGTTAACATAGACAATAATAATAGCTACCTGATCGTTAGAAGAATGCCGAAAGAAGATGGTGTGATCTGTTTGAGCCTGAGTAAAATCATGACCCACGATCATTTTTGTAAACTTGCCGACATAGGCCCTTTGGGACTGCTTTAGCCCATAGACGGGCTTTTGTAGCTTGCACATTTGTCCTTTTGGGGCAGTAGAATCAAAATCTGAAGGGAGAAACATGTATACCTATTTTGTCAGGTCTCCATTCATGAATGCATTCTTGATCTCTAGTTGGAATAAATGCTAGTTTAGATTCACCGCAAGTGACAACTAGACCCTAATAGTGTTTAACTTTGCCATTGGAGCTAATGCCTCCTCATAGTCAACTCCGTCAGTCTGAGAGTATCCTTGGGAGACCAATTTTTCCTTGTTTCGTTCAAAGGATTCGTCAGAGTTGAACTTGGTGCTGAAAATCCATCGGTGCACCATACAACGTTCTTACCTTAAAGAAGATCCACGATCTCCCACGTATGGTTCTGCTGAAGGGTATTCATCTCCTCCATTACTGTTGTTTTTCAAGCTTGATCAGCATGAGCGACTTCAATAGTAGCAGGGATTTGATGTTCATCAGGGCAGTAGCAAATGCTCTATAAGTCGGCAATAAACTGTGGAAAGAGACATATTTTTTCATAGAATAAAGGGAGCATGTTTGATTACGTGTTTTACTTGGAGAACTCGCATTCTCTTTCAAAGAAGGGGTTGTGCTGAGGATGTCGCCTGGAGTGGATTCAAGTTCTTGTAAGGAAGTAGCGGGATCAAAGTAGGAGAATTGGGACAAGGGCGCTGAGTGTAGACGTGGACAATGGAAGGAGATGGTACACTCAACGGGACAGGGGCCTCATCTGTAGTAGGAACAATGGGCGGACCATCCATAGGAGTAGGAT